GGGGGAAAAGGGCAGAGAAGACGTGGTATCTGGGGGACGAGGGCGTGGTTTCAGGCGCGCGCTAAATGAGAGGCTGTGGACTGAAGGCCCGGGGGTAAGAAGGGAAAGGGGCGGAGTTTGGGATATAGTGGGCGGTGTTCGGGGCGAGTGGGCGAGGTTTGTAGTTAAGTGGGCGTGGTTTGGAGTTGAGTGGGCGTATTTGGGTGTGTGTGGGCGGGGTTTGTAGGTAAGTGGGCGGGGATTGAGGACTCTGAGCGACGCGGTGTGGGCGGTGCCCTTGTCAGTTGGGGGCGTGGTTTGGTTTCAGCGGCCGTGTGCCGGAATGACTTACAAAAACCGAAGCTGCTTGGAAAGGGTCAGCAGGTCTGGAGGCATCCGTGAAACGACTTTTTTTTTCTGCACAGTTGCCGCCGGATCTGGGTGTGCTTTTTCAGCAGCTTCTGATTTTGTTCCTGATGTTGGGCATCCGGAGTTCTTTCCGGTTTAAATGTAAATTACGTCATCGGGGGCGAGGGTTCGAAACGACTGGAGGGGGCGGGAACAGAGGATGCGGCGTGGAATGCTGATTGGGGCATGGTTTGGTGTTACGGGCGTGATTTCGTTTCAGGGGCGGTTAGGAGAATGACGTGAGATAACAAGGTGTAGAGCTGGATGAACACAGCGGGCCAAGCAGCATTAGAGGTGCAGGAAGGCTGACGTTTCGGGCCTAGACCCTTCTTCAGCCTTCCTGCTCCTCTGATGCTGCTTGGCCTGCTGTGTTCATCCAGCTCTACACCTTGTTATCTCAGATTCTCCAGCTCCTACTATCACGAGAATGACGTGTAGTGTGTCTTGGAAGTTGGTGTGTCGTAGAGAAGGGGGCGGGGCAGCCGGATGACGTTTTGAAGGCAGGACGGATTGAATGGGGCGGGGTTTCGTGTATAGGGGCGTGGTTTAATTTCAGCGCAGGGACGACGTAAAGTGGGTGAGAGATAGTAGGAACTGCAGATGCTGGAGAATCCGAGACAACAAGGTGCAGAGCTGGATGAACACAGCAGGCCAAGCAGCATCATAGGAGCAGGAAGGCTGACGTTTCGGGCCTGGACCCTTCATCAGAAAAGTGAGAGGTTCCTTAATGACGTCAGGGGGCGGGGCGAGGTTTTGGATGCGCTGAGCACTGTTCTCCGGCTGGAGACGAAAGTCTACAGATGCTGGAATCCGAGGTAGACAAACAGGAGATAACAAGGTGTAGAGCTGGATGAACACAGCAGGCCAAGTAGTATCAGAGGAGCAGGAAGGCTGACGTTTCGGGCCCAGACCCTTCTTCAGAAAACCAGGAGACAAACAGGAGGCTGAAAGAACATTGCAGACCAGGCAGCATTTAGAGGAAAGCAACAGTCAACCTTGCGGGTATTCACCCTTCTTCATTTCTGGATGTGGTGGCGTGCTTCACATGTAGAGGTGAGTAGGCGGAATGGTGGTGATAGGTGGACACTGGTAGTAGGTACAACCTGGTTGGTTGATAGAAGCGACGAATCCGGTTGGTGGCTGGAAGGGAGGGTCAGAAGGTGGAATGGCAGGGAGGAGGAGGGGCTGGGGCATGGGTGGGAAAGTTGTTTGAAATTGGAGAGCTTGATGTTGAGTCCTTCGTGCAGTAGGGTGCCCAGGCAGAAGATAAGGTGTTGTTCTTCAAATTTGCATTCACTGCAACACTGGAGGAGGAGTGGGGCGGGAAGTTGAAATGGGCAGTGACCAGGAGGTTAGGTTGGCTGTTACAGTGATCATGGGGGATTGCAATATGCAGGTGGGCTGGACTGGGAAAATCACGTTGGTAGTGGAGTGCAAGGAAAGGAGTTTGTGGAATGTCTATGAGGTGGCTCTTTGAAGCATTTTGTGGTGCCCACAAGAGAACAGGCAATACTGGATTTAGTGTTGTGCAATGAGGCAGACTTGATTAGGGAGCTTAAGGTAGAGGAACCCTGAGGAGGCAGTGATCATAAGATGACAGAATTTACTCTGCAACTTGAGAGGGAGAAGATAGAATCAGAGGAACAGTATTACAGCTGAATAAAGGTGACTACAGAGGTATGAGGGAGGAGCTGGGCAGAATTGACTGGAAGAGGAGTCTAGCAGGAAAGACAGTGGCACAGAAATGGCAGGAGTTTCTTTGAATAATTCAGGAGATGCAGCAAAAATTCACCCCTAGGAAAAATAAGCATGGTACAGGGAGGGTAAGGCAACCATGGCTGACTAAGGAATTCAGGGGAAAACAGTTAACATTTCAGTTCTGGTGACCCTTCATGACCCGAAACATTAACTCTGTTTTCTCCTTCGCGGATGCTGCCAGACCTGCTGAGCTTTTCCAGCAAATTTGTTTTTGTTCCTGATTTACAGCATTTGCAGTTCTTTTGGTTTTTATTTAAGGAATTCAGGAATAGCATAAAAACAAAAGAGAAAGCATACAATGTAGCGAAGGGCAGTGGAAAACCAGAGGATTGGGAAGCTTACAAAGACCAACAGAGGGTAACAAAAAGAGAAATAAGGAGGGAGAAGATTAAATATGAGATTAATCTAGCCAGTAATATAAATGAAGACTGGAAGAGTTTCTTTAGATATATAAAGGGCAAAAGACAGGCAAAAATGGACAGTGGTGATCTTTCAGGAATCGCTAGAGCCAGGGAGGGTCCCAGAGGACTGGAAAATCGCTAAAGTGACACCCCTGTTTAAAAAAGGAGTAAGGCAAAAGATGGAAAATTACAGGCCGATTAGCCTAACCTCAGTCATGGGTAAGATTTTGGAGTCCATTGTAAAGGATGAAATTTCTGAATCTTTAGAAGTGTATGGTAAAGTAGGGTAAAGTCAGCATGGTTTCATCAAGGGGAGGTCATGCCTGACAAATCTGCTAGAATTCTTTGAGGAAGTAACGAGCAGCGTAGACCAAAGAGATCCAATGGATGTTATCTACCTGGACTTCAAGAAGGCCTTTGACAAGCTGCCGCACAGGAGGCTGCTGAGTAAGATTAAGGCCCATGGTGTTAGAGGCGAGGTGCTAGCATGGAAAGAAGATTGGCTGTCTGGCAGAAAGCAGAGAGTGGGGATAAAAGGGCCTTTCTCGGGATGGCAGCCGGTAACAAGTGGTGTTCCACAAGGGTCAGTGTTAGGACCACAACTTTTCACTTTGTACGTTAATGATCTGGATGAAGGAGCTGTGGACGTTCTGGCTCGGTTTGCAGACGATACAAAGATAAGTGGAGGGACAGGTAGTATTGAGGAGGTGGGGAGGCTGCAGAAGGATTTGGACAGTTTAGGAGAGTGGGCAAAGAAGTGGCAGATGGAGTACAACGTGGGAAAGTGTGAGGTCATGCACTTTGGTAAGAAGAATAAAAGCATGGACTATTTTCTAAATGGGGAGAAAATGCAGAAATCTGAAGTGCAAAGAGACTTGGGAGTTCTAGTCCAGGATTCTCTCAAGGTAAACTTGCAGGTTGAATCAGTAGTCAGGAAGGCAAATGTAAAGTTGGCATTTATTTTGAGAGGACTTGAATATAAAAGCAGGGATGTACTACTGAGGCTTTATAAGGCTCTGGTCAGGCCAAATTTGGAGTATTGTGTGCAGTTTTGGGCCCCATATCTCAGGAAGGATGTACTGGCCACTCAGAGGAGGTTCACAAGAATGGTCCCAGGAATGGAAAGCTTAACATATGAGGAATGTTTGAGAACTCTGGGATTATACGCATTGGAATTTAGAAGGATAAGGGGGGATCTAATTGCAACTTACAGAATACTGAACGGCCTGGACAGAGTGGATGTTGGGAAGATGCTTCCATTGGTAGGAGAGACTAGGACCCGAGGGCACAGCCTTAAGAGTAAAGGGAAGTCCTTTTAGAATGAAGATAAGGAGAAATTTCTTCAGCCAGAGTGTGATGAATCTGTGGAATTCACTGCCACAGAAGGCTGTGGAGGCCAGGTCATTGAGTACATTTAAGACTGAGATAGATAGGTTCTTGACGATCAAGGGTTACAGGGAGAAAGCGGGAGAATGGGGTTGAGGAACTTATCAGCCATGATTGAATGGCAGAGCAGACTCAACAGGCCGAATGGCCTAATTTCTGCTCCTATGTCTTATGGTTGTGGGCCGGGCAGAGATGCTGAGCGAAACAGTCACCTAGACTACAGTCCATCTCATTGACATAGAGAATACTGGATACAATAGACTAGGTTGGAGGAGATGCAAGTTGCCTCACTTGGAAGGGCTATTTCGGGCTCTGGATGGAGTGAGGGAGGTGGTGTGTGGGCAGGGGATGCATCTTTTATGGTTACAGGGGAAGGTTCCGGGTGGGTTGAAGTGCTAAGTGGGGAGTGTGACGCGAACTAAGGGAATGGTCCTTGCGGAAGGCAGAGAGTGGTGGGGTCTAATTGGAGTTGGCTGAAGAGTTGGAGGATGATATTTTGGATGCGGAGGCTGGTGGTGTGGAAAGTGAGCACAAGGGGAACCCTATCTTTATTATGTTTGGAGGGAGGGTTGGTTAAGAGCTGTAGAGCAGGGAATGGAGGAAGCATGGTGGAGGGCTGTCTGGATGACAGAGGGAGGAAAAGAGCATTGTTTGAAAAATGTGGACATCTGGGATGCTTGGGAGTGGAACATCTCCTCGTCAGAGCAGATGCAATGGAGACTAGGAATTGGGAAAGCATGATGGAGTTTTTGCAGAATACCTGTTGGGAGGAAGTGTAGTCAAGGTAGCTACGGGAGTTGGTGGGTTTATATTTATAGAATTCCTACAATGTGGAAACAGGCCATTTGGCCCAATAAGTCCACACCGCCCCCTCCGAAGAGCACCCCACATAGACCCAATACACCTGCATTTCCCTTGTTTAACCCACCTAACCATAACATCCCTGGGCACTATGGGCAATTTAGCATGGCCAATCTACCTAGTCTGCACATCTGTGGACGGAAACCAGAGCACCCAGAGAAAACCCACACGGACACAGGGAGAATGTGCAAACTCCACACAGACAGTTGCCTGAGGCTGGAATCGAACCTGGGTCCCTGGCGCTGTGAGGCAGCAGTGCTAACCACTGAGCCACCGTGCTGCATAGTAAATGTCAGTCTGTAATCTGTTGCTAGAAATGGAAATGGAGAGGTCAAGAAAGGGGAGGGAGGTGTCTTGAGGTAGACCAAGTGAATTTGAGGGCAGGGTGGAAGTTGTTAGCGAAGTTGATGAACTGCTCCAGTTCTGCCTGGCTACAGGATGCAGTACTGATGCAGTCATTGATGTAATGGCGGAAGAGTTGTGGAACAGTACCAGTGTCCGTACTGAAGAGGGACTGTTCAGCATAACCTACAAACAGGCAGGCATAGCTAGGGCCTGTGTGAGTGCCCATGGCAACTCCCTGGATTTAGAGAAAGCAGGAAGAATTGTAGGAAAAGTTATTGAGGGTGAGCACTAGTTTGGCAAGGCAGAGTTGGGTATTGGTGGAGGGGGGGTGGGGGGGAACTGGATGGGACTGTTGAAGAGGTAGAAACTGAGGTCCTCTAGGCCGTCCTTGTTGGGTATGGATGTGTATAGGGATTGAACGGCCATAGTAAAGATGAAGCACTGGGGGTCAGGGAACTTTGAAGTTACCAAAGAGGTGGAAGGCATGGTTTGTGTCTCGGATATAGGTGGGAAGTGCCCGAACCAAGGAGGAGAGAATGGAGTCGAGGTAGGTAGAGATGAGTTCTGTCGGCCAGGAACACGCAGACTTGGAGGAGCTGGGCCGTCCGCAGAGGAAGATTCTGCCTCCTGCAGGAGCCGGACCCAGCCATCAGGAAGGGAAGGTAAAGTTGTGAAAGAGACAAAGGACAGGGAGCGAATCACAGAGTCAGAATATTCCCCAGCTCCAGCCACCCCACATAACCTCCGAGGAGGAGCGATGGGAATCAGGAGATAGTCCAGGAGGATACAGTCGAACTGTCCTTGAAGAGAGGGAGATAGGGAGGGGGTGTAGGTGTTAAAGGAGGTTACAGAAATAGGGAGGGAGTGTTGGGAGGGCAGAAGGGGTGTAGGGGGCCAGAGAGGGCTGCAAGAATGGTGTGGAGGCCAGAGGGCGTTGCAGGGACGGGGAGGGTGTGTAGGGGGCTGGAGGGGTGGTTGCAGGGTTGGGGAGGGGATGTAGGGGGCTGCAGGGACAGCGTGGGGGTATAGGGGTCACAGATTAATGGCAATTGGTGAGAGACCCAGAGGGGATCACGGATTCAGGGCGAGAGGGGATTGAAATTGACCCATGCTATCCTTCCCAAACACACGCTGAGCAGGAAAGGCCCTGGCATTGTCCTGGGCCTGCTGCTGTGTGTGGGATCTTGTGTGTGAATGACTTGCCTTATAGTTGACCAGCCAGTCCTACCATGTGAGAGTAACCCACCAAGGAATGGGCGAAAACTAACCAAATATTCACCAATGTTTAATTTCCGATTGCTG